TTTTCTGGATTTAGTTCGTAACAAACAAGCCTGCCTTATCAGTACCTACTGCATATATCAATTATGCAAGAAATTGCACCATTCTGCAGCTTAAATTCACCACAAAACACAGATTCAATCAAAGTTTTCTATCCCATAAACACCAATCAACGATATTGCAGCCATTAGCCCTCAAGAACTCATTTTAACAGCAGATTATCTTTTATCTATTCATTTCTTTAAACTTCTACTAATAAACTATAGGGTTAAATTGAGTGTAATATGATTTGCTAACTATAACGACAGAATTAAAGCTCCGACGCTAGATAACGACGGACTCCAATGTCTGTCGCTAGACATTAGAAAAAATGTTAAAAAATTCGGGTGAAGTAATATGATTTGCCAGCTATATAGCGACGAATAATCAAATCCGTCGCTAGAGTGTTTAAAGTATTGGAAATGTTAGAAAATTCGGGTTGCAAATTTAGTGACGAAAAAGAGAGTCCGTCGTTAAAGTGTTAGAAAATCATTCCTCTTACAAATGTAGCGACGAATAAATATATCCGTCGCTAAGAATTAAACATAATTAAATTCGCGTACAAATCTAGTGAAGGATCATCACATCCGTTGCTACATTATACGCATAAATAAATATCTCTTGAAAATTTAGCGACGGATACATATATCCGTCGCTAATTTGTAGCTATTAAAATTATGAAATTAACCCGCCAAAAATTCGTCGCAACTCCATCGTTAGGTTTTGCGCCAAAATTTACCACTAAATTTAGCTACGTATTTAACGACGAAAATATTTCGTCGCAATATCCATCGCAAATTCCTCGCTAAATGTAAATCTAACAACAAAATTAAAATCGGTTGCTAAGTTGTCCCTATTCCGTAGCTAAATTAGCTACGGAAATTGTCCGCCGCTATATAGGCATTTTTTTGTAGTGAAAATCTCCAACCCCAAGGGCCCCCCGGTGACCAACTAAGCTACCCATATGAGCTCCAAGATGCATTGATGGAAGTGCTCTTAGTACACATTTTCTCATATTATTGCATTTTTTTGGATGATGAAGAAACCCCATAACACTTTTGGGTGTGAATAAATCCCACTTTGTGATCTTAACTGGTAAAAAACCAAAAGGAAGTACACATTTTCTCATAGGAGAAATCGCACTTTTGATCCTCAATTAGTAGCCCATATGCAATGTTATCCTTACTTTTCAATTTGGACAGAATTGGTCTCTGAATTATTCTCCGTTAGTCAATTTAGTCCTTCTATGAGTTAATCAGCCTTAACTCCGTTTACACCATGGGCATAATTGAAATTTCACATAACATTGTTTATAATAACATTGTTATTCTTCTTAAGGTGCGTGGTTTTTGTGTGTTTAAAGTGTGTGGGTTTTGTGCTTAAGGTGAGTGAGTTTTGTGTTTAAGTTGCGTGGGTTGTGTGCTTAATGTGAGTAGTTGTTGAAACTTAAGGTGCGCGATTTTCCTTCTTAAGGTGCGTCAGTTGTGTGAAACTTAAGGTTAGCCATTTTAAAACTTTAGGTGTGTGGTTTGTGTTTTTAAGGTGCTTTGTTTGTTTGCTTAAGGTGCGTGCTTGTGTATTAAGGTGTGTGGTTTGTGTTCTTAAAGTGTTTTGTTTGTGTGTTTAAGGTGGGTGGTTTGTGTCACTAAACAAACTAGTAATGCATTCTTGCGAAATTTCTAAGTTCCCCAAGTTCTTGAAAGGCCTCCATGGTTTACTATCTCTTGACCTTTCTGATAGTAAGATACATGATGAAATACCGAGCTGGATATGGAAGAATTAGCATGGATTTGTGAATATTTCTCACAATATTTTATATGTCCTTGATGGATTTCCCTCAAATATTTCTTTAAATTTGTTTGCTGTTTACCTTCTTGGAAATTGTATCAAATGACGCAATATGAGCAACTTGATGTTCCTTAATAATCTGAGTGGTTTGTTTCTAGAGTGTCTGGTCAAGTTTACAGCTCTGTCTGTTTTGAATTTGAAAAGAAACAATTAATAAATACCATCAAATACTTTCTAATTTTACATTATTTGCCTATAATAATCTTCTCTCCCTAAATATGAATTACAATCGATTAAAAGGGAAGCTGCCAATATCAATGGCTAATTGCAAATTGCTGGAGATTAATTCTTGATTTAGGAAACAAGATGATTTTTTGGTGTACTTGAATTGTCCAGTTGCATGCAATGAACATGTACTGCATTGTCCAAGCCAGTTGCCCATTTAATTCAACCAATTAATAATCTACATTGGCTGTCTTTAAAAACTTGAAAAATGTTTTACAGAAAAATAATTTTCAGGAAATAACTCATTTTCTAAAAAATAATTTAATTTTCTAATGTTTGGTTGTGACTCCCTATTCCAACCGGGGAGAACAAGTCATTCGACAAAGGAGATTCTAAACTTGCGAAGACTTGGTTTGATTAAGCCGCTGAGTATTGGAGACGGGCATAGCGCTCACTCCCGGTAATTATATTGAAGTGCATAACTGGTTAAAGATCATGAGACATTTCGAATAAAAGAGTGCCTTTTTTATTATTCTTTATTACTCCGTATTATTTAGAATTTTATTTCGATTCTTTTGATTATTATTTATATCTAGAATCTTATGTTTGATTCTTTTTGTTTGAATTCATTATATTTAATGAAGTTTTTGTTTAATTTTTTGTTAGATATGTTTAAAAAATCAACATATTATTTGTTACAAAACAATAACAATAACAACAACAACAACAATAATAATCTACTATATCTACTATATTAATAAGAGCCCAAGAAAGTTAGGCCTATAATGGGTAGAAAAAATGGCGGTCACAGATTTTAATCAAATGAATGGCTCAGATTGATTAAAAGATTGATCAGATTTAAATTTTACACTAAAATTTCCTAAAATACCCATACACCGTTACTAATTCCGTTAAAATTTTAAGAATTGCCGTTAGTTCACCGTTAACTTACTCATTGATTTCAATAAAAAAGGGTCTTAGGTTCGAACCTCATCCCAATCAAAGTTGGCATAATTAGTACTCTATTTTACTCTTATTAAATTATATATAAATAATAATTTAGTAGTTACAACAAAAAATAATACATATGCATTTCTTTAATTTAGAATTATGTGTTCACAATGTCTTTATTCAAAAAAAAAAAATTATTCATTATCAATAAATTAAATAAGATAAATAATTTTATTAGTTATATTGTCTTTATTTTTCTTCAATATAAAAATTATTTATATTCAAATTTATTAATTGATTATATTCGCTACATTGTCCTTACAATGTCTTTATTCAGTGAAAAAAAAATTATTAATTATCAATAAATTAATTAAAAGAAATATTTTCATTAGTTATATTGTCTTTATTTTTCTCAAATGTAAAAATTTTTACATTCAAATTCATCAATTGATTATATTCACTACATTATCTATTATCTTTTTTGTGCACTATTTTTCTAATTAAATATCAAAGTTATAACATAAAATAATGCTATATATTTATTTACCAAGTATTTTATTAATACCATGAAAAAATTAAAAAAAAATATAATTAATAAAGCCAACTATATTAACTACCAGGACTATGTGGTCCAATGGTATCCGGGTTGGACTTCCATTTGGAAGATTATGAGTTTGAGCCTCAGTGGAGGCGTTATTGGTTCTCTGTGTTTCAGTAGGTTGAGAAAGTATATGAACAGATACTACAATGTAATAGAACCAGTAGCATTCAAAAAAAAAAAAAAAAAACTACTTGAGAGATTTTGTGACAAAGAGAATATTCAAATCACACAACAAATTAAAGTGAGAACTACCTCGCAATGTCCTTGTTTGACAATCAACAGAGAGATTTTGTGACAAAGAGAATATTCAAATCACACAACAAATTAAAGTGAGAACTACCTCGCAATGTCCTTGTTTGACAATCAACAGTTAGCGGATTTGACCAGCGAATTTATTCCGCCAAATTATAAAATCAAATGAATGGTTCATATTGTTCAGGTTTTAATTTTTTCTTTTAAGATTTTCTAATTTATCCTTAATTATATGATTATCCATTTAACTTTTCGGTTAATTCACCGTTAGTCTAATTCTAATATTAAAGTCTAATATAGAATTATAACTTCACCATTAATCTAATTCTAATATTAAAGTCTTAATAGAACTTAACAACAAATCCTAATGTCGGAATCTCCTCAAACAATATTAGTATATATTTCATATTTTATACCCTAATTTTTATTTGTTCTCCCTTATGTCCCGTATTTGGTTTCAACCATACCTATACAATTATTTTATTGACAATTATAATCAATATTGACTATATTATCTTGCATTTGTAAAATTAGAATTACCTATTTAACCCGCACGGGCTTAGCTCAATGATTTAGTGGGTAGTATTTGGGAGAAGAGACCAAGGTTTGAACCTCGGCGGCGGCAATGCGGGAATTATGTCCAAAGTGGGCAGATTCCTTGTGCGTACCAGCATTTGGCCATGTCTGTTGAACCATTGAGTCACCGTGATTTACAACTTCCACAATGCTCTGTCGGGTCGGAGTGTAGGGAGGACCCTTGGGGTTGGGGACTCAACCTTTGGGAGAATAATTACCTATTTAAATACGCAAATTCAACTTTCAATTATCTATGCATAAACAATTTCTATATAATCTTGCCTTAATATATTTTAAAGTACTTATTTGAAGCTTGACCAAAACAATCTGTCTTCTGATTTCCCAGAAAATGTTTTTCTCCTTCCAAAATTGAAAACCATTGACATCTCCTATAATAACCATCTGAGTGGCCAGTTTCCAAAGTTTCCAAAACACACCTCTTTGCAAACCATTTCACTTTCTCACACAAATTTTCGTGGAGAATTTCCTGAGTCCATTAGAAATCTTCAGTCACTGAATTCTTTAGATATTTCTAGCTGCAAGCTCTCGGGTTTAATCCCATCATCACTAGCAAACCTCACAAGAATTATCATGTTGGACATTGGAGGAAACAGATTCACTGGTTCTTTACCCCCATTTCATAGTACAACTGTGCCAAATCTCTCGTACCTTGACATGTCATCCAATCTTCTCACCGGAGAAATTCACTCTTCTGTTTTCACACTTCCATCTCTGGCTAATTTGCTACTCAATAATAACAAATTCAGTGGTGAACTCCAGGAGTTCTCTAATGCATCTTCCTCTGTTTTAGAGTATTTGTATTTGAATGACAATCAATTGAGTGGGGTGGTACCTAAATCAATATATCAGCTTCCTAACCTCTTGTATCTATCATTGGCCTCTAACAACTTCAATGGTAGTGTGAAAATTGAGATGTTGCAGAATCTCAAGATGTTGACACTTTTAGATCTCTCTACCAATAGTTTGACAGTTGAAAGTGATGATAGAAGCTTTCACTTGCCTCAGCTCCAATTCTTGTATCTACAGAAGTGCAATTTATCTGATTTCCCCATTTTATTGAAGAATCAAGTACGACAGCTTAGAGGTCTGAACCTGGCATACAATCACATCCGAGGTTATATTCCTAGTTGGCTAGGGAACAACATTCTTGAGCAGTTGGACCTTTCTGGAAATACAATTGATTTTCTTGAAACAACATCAGCTCAGGGAAACGGTTCATTCATGACCCTAAGTATTCTCGCGCGCGATGCGTTCTTGCAAAATTTCTAAGTTCCCTGAGATCTTGAAAGGCCTTGATGGTTTACAGGATCTTGACCTTTCTCATAACAAGATAGAAGGTGAAATACCAAGTTGGATATGGAATAGTGAGCTTGAATATGTGAATATTTCTCACAATCTTTTAACTGCTCTTGATGAATTTCCCACAAATATTTCTTTATTTGTGTTTTCTCTTTTTCTTCATGGAAATCGTATCAAAGGATCTATTCCATCCACAATATGCAATATGAGCAACTTGTTGTTCTTTGATGCATCAGATAATAATTTGAGTGGTTTGATTCCAGAGTGTTTGCTCAAGCTTCAAAGTCTGTCTGTTTTGAACTTTCAAAGAAACAGATACCATCAAATGCCTTCTAATTTTACATTAGCAAGAAATCTTGCTACTCTTAATATCAATGGCAATCGTTTGAAAGGGAAGCTGCCAAGATCACTAGCCAATTGCAAAAAGCTGGAGATTCTTGATTTAGGAAACAACATAATGTCTGACACTTTTCCATTTTGGTTGGAGAAACTCCCTTCACTCAAAGTTCTTATCTTACGAAACAACATGTTTTATGGTGAGATGGAGATTCCTAGGACAAAGTTTGTGCTGCCAAGCTTAAGCATAATTGATTTGTCCTCCAATAATTTCACCGGAAAGTTGTCCACATATTTCCTGCAGAGTTTGAGTGCAATGACTATGGGTGGGGAAAACAAAGCACTGTCCAGCCTCATAGGAGAACATGACGGCTACTATCAGGATTCAGTGACCGTCATGAACAAAGGATATGAGATGGTGCTGGTTAAGATCTTGACAATATTTGTATCTTTGGATCTGTCAAACAACAAGTTCCACGGCAATGTCTCGAAAGAGATTGGGGAACTAAAATCATTGGTTGTGCTCAATCTATCACGAAATGCTTTCGATGGGCAAATTCCAATATCATTGGGAGACTTATCTCAACTTGAATCTTTAGATTTTTCAAAGAATAAATTCTCAGGGATAGTTCCTCCACAGCTCGCTAGTCTAACTTTTTTAGAAGTATTGAACCTATCATACAACCAACTAGGTGGCCACATTCCTTTGGGGAACCAATTCAATACTTTCACGAATAGTTCCTACATAGGAAATGCAGGACTGTGTGGAACCCCACTCTCAAGAAAATGCAGTAAAGATGATGATGTACTAGTAGCACAAGATGAGAGCTTGGAAAATGAAGCCATGATTGATTGGAGGTTTGCAGTTGCTGGATGTGTGTCTGGATTGGTTGTTGGATTAACAATTGGGTTCTCTTTTTTGGCAGAACTAATTATTAAGTGGCTTGTAAAGCAGCAGAAGAAAAGAAGAAGAAACCAAGGAGGACTCAGAAGAAGAAGAAACCAAGGAGGATTTAGAAGAAATTGAGCACAATTATAATGTTACCTCTTTGATTAAGAAAATAACTTTTTGTTTTGTATTTACGTTCTCCAAGATTGTCTCGTACTTAGTACGTAGTATATGTTTAATGCTTTTCTTAAGCTAAGTAGTACATTTCTCCTAATTCCAAAGTTATGTTTCACCCAACCACCTAAGCGCATTCTCTTTTTCAAAATATTGATTGCCAATTATTCGATAGTTACGTTGCTTTTTTATTAATCTAAGGGAAAATTGTAAAAAATGCCAATCTATAATATGTCACTTATCAATGTTACTCATGAATTATGAGTGTAAATGTTTCCCCTCAATTATCAAAACGGTGCATATACAGCCCCCCTCCCCCCCCCCCATAACAGACATGTGGTTCTCCGTTAGTGCACACCGTTAAGTCAGGGTAAATATGTAATTTAGTTGTTTTTTCGTTTTCCTTTTTATATATTTTCCCTTTGTTTTTCCCTTTTCTTTCTCAGCATCAACATACAACAGTCCAGCGACGAGCAACGATGGAGGTGGACTCGATTGGTGGTGTCCAGTAACGGCGGCGACGGATGAGCTCCGGCGAGACCCTCCCTCGATTCGAAATACTAGCGATGGACAGCGGAAAAGTCCAGAGACGTTCTCTATTTCCAACGTGAACGACAGCTACGGCGACATCAAGCTCGGACTTTGGTTTGTCTTCTTCCAACGTGAACAAGACGAGGCAGCGCGACAGAGCCTCCCTCTCTCTCGTTCGACGAGGGCAGTATTTCCCGGTTAACAACTCCTTTTTCCCTAGAGGCGTCCCCTATTTTCAACAGAGCAGCGACAAAAACCAACCATGGTGGAACTCCGGCGACGTTGTACTATCCCTGCGAGACAATGTGGAACTGAGACGACGGCAATTGTGGTGAGCTTCCGGCGGAGCAGTGTCGAGCTGTGGGTTGTGGCTGTGGCGGCTGTAGGCAGTGTGGGGAGCTAGGGGTGTTCAATCGGTTAACCGTTCGGTTAACCGAACCGTTTTAACCGAACCGAATTAACCGAAATTTTTTTTCCTTTAACCGTTAACCGAACCAAAGTTTGCTCTACCGAATTCACCGAACCGAAATTTTTTTCGGTTAATCGGTCGGTTAACCGATTAACCGAACTTTTTAAAGCTAAAATTTAAAATTCTAAAAATAACACCTAAAATAATAAATTCAATTAAAATAAAATACATATCATAATAAATTCATAATAAAATATACAAAAACATTAATAATAAACTCCAAACATCCATAACTTCAAATTAGTATTTATATTTATATTATTATTTATATATATATTAAAAACTTCGGTTAACCGTTCGGTTAACCGACCTTTCGAACCGAATTAACCGTTAACCGAAATTTTAAAATTTCTTTAACCATTAACCGAACCGAAAAAGTTCGGTTCGAAAACGGTTAACCGAACATTGTCGGTTCGGTCGGTTAACCGAAAATTATCCGAAGTTTGCACACCCCTATGGGGAGCTATTGCAGCGACTGTGGGCTGCTCATCGCCGGACTGTTGTTTGTTGAGGCCGAAAAAGAAAAAGGAAAAAAAAAAGGGATAATATAAAAAGGAAAAAGGAAAAAATAATTAAATTACATATTTACCCCGACTTAACGGTGTACAGTACACTAACTGGGAACCACAGGTCCATTACGGGAGGGGCTATATGAGCACCGTTTTGATAATTGAGAGGCCACATTTACATCACTCATAATTCAGGGATGACATTGATAATTGACATATTATAGAGGGGCATTTTTTACAATTTTCCTTTAATCTAATAACAAAAATTTATGAAAAAAAATAGTTTCTAACGGGAATATCACAATAGTTACATTGAATATAATTTTGTTGGATACAAGGAAAGAAGAGAACACAAAGACAAATTAAATTACTTTGAATACGCCAAACATCTTGTGTTCAAATGACATGCGCACCTCTGTGGCCCCACTTGAGGGAAGGTCACAAGATTGAACCTTGGTGGTGGAGTATTGACTCTCTAGTTCGGTTAATGAGGTTTGACTGAATTAATTTTTAATTCAATTTTTCATAATATTAAGTTTAGTATTAGTATATATACAAAATTTATATATTTAGAAACTACACTAAAAGTACTATTAAATACAAAAAATTTAAATTTAAAAATAAGTAAAACATAGTACATAAAGAAAATAAATAAAGAAGAAAGAGTTTGTTTGACCAATGAATAGTAAGTATGACATATAAAATGGGACAGAAGGAGTATTTTTTGTTGTTTCAAAAATACCTTTAAAACCTTGCATATAAGTACATATATATAATTTCAAGCTTATGTCAAACTCTTACGATTAATTTGGCAGCTTCTCATCATCACTAAAGTATGATAATATGTTTCTATTTGCAATTTCATATGTGTGTGTAGTATATATAGTTTATGTTTTTCTTCTTTTTTCTAGTTACATACGTTTGTTTATATTTATTTATTTCTACTAGTATTTTTGCTCGTGCGATGCACAGAATGGATTGAATATTTGGATCGATATATAATTATTTAAATTAGAACATCAAATATTATATAGTGCAATTGAATATATGGTTTGGATCATTTATGTGTTTTGATGCTATCATTGCTTGAATTTAAGCAAATAATTGTTCAAATTAATAGCTAATGTGTAGATGTACGCATGCAGTGCTGTAACTTTGGAGATTTTATTTATCAGTGTTTAGTATTTTTTTATAAATTAGGCAAATGTGCTCGTTTTCTAGCAACTCAGTTATAGGAATTGAATGAATTGCTATCTTAATTCATTTGTATGGAGGATATAATTTTGTCTAGATATATAATAATTTTGTCATTTAAAAAAAACATAATATGACCGATTGTATTTACACATTATTAAAACCTCTTTATAGACGACATTGGTAGTAGCAACATAATCTTGTCCATCATCGTCTAGAGCTAATACATTCAGTCCATCAGGATGTGTGACTAATGGTAAAATATTAGTCAATTAATGATCCTTTTATATTTTAAGTCAATTAGTAAGAGTAAAAACCAACGGACATCCTCCGACTTTGATGGCACCACCACTTTTAGTCCTCTACTTTTAAATTCACCACCATTAATCCTCTTAGTTTTGATTTCATTCCATATGGGGTCCTTCTGTTAGATTAGGCCGTGTAACCCCGTTATGTCAAGGATACAATTGTCTTTTCACAATTGTTGAAAATTGAAATTATTACTTTGTTTTCAGAGTTCAGCTTGGTGAGGAGTCTTTTCCCCGTTATACTCAACTCGTACATGCATTTTTGGTCTCCTCCAGAATCAATTTTCCACACTCTTAACAAAATCCTTGCTCAAAGATGCTAAATACTCCCTGAATTCCCGAAAGAGCTCCAGCAAACGAACCGCACATTCGATACATGTCCTTGTTATCAAGATGCAGAACAAATTAAATGCTCTAGTCAGATTTCGGTTTGGGAAAACACCATTTAAAGATCAAAATGTGAGTGATAAAATTTCATCTTGCCTTCAAAGGGTATCTGCAGGTTTGGGTAGTTTCAACGTCTATCAACGATACACCATTTCCTACTGCTGCAGCAAGAAACCTTCCGCGGGTGGGCTGGAACCTAACTTGACTTGCAAGAACCTGAGGTGATTTTGGAAAATATATAGAATTTATGAAGAATAAAAAAAAAATCAGCAAATAAATTATCAATCGATTCAGTCCAAGAAAACTCGACAAAATCATGAAGAACAAGTGTGTTGAATGCCATCATCCTCCTCCGATCCGCCTCCTCCACCCGAATGTCCACCTCTACCGTTGTCCCCATCGCCTATTCTACCGCCATCCCCACCGCCTATTATACCGTCATTCGCACCGCCTATTCTATTCTCACCACCACCACATACTCTGTCATCACCTCCATCTGTTGAGAAAGCTGGGCAATGATTACAATAAAAATATATAATAGCGGTAACAGACCGTGGAAGAAAAGGGCAAGAATCTTATGCCAAATTTCCTTTGAAATTTGATGGAATTTGCTGCTGCCACGCCCAGATTATGTTGTTGAACGGAAATTGCACTGCCTAGGAACAGAGCTGCTACACTACCGCTTGGAATTAATCAGCTAGCGAAGAATAATTCGCTGCCAAGAATTAATTGCCAGAAAGAGGCGGCCGTCCGAAAATTTGCACTGCCTCCAAGGATTTGCGCCGAAGGAGATTTCGCTCGCAGATTGCAAAGATAATCCTCCGCCGTTGAACAGATGTTCCTTCTTTCGTATTTGTTCCGTTGTTCTTCGCTAATGATATTACCATACCTTCCACCACCACCTCCGCCACCAATTCTGTCGGCAGCGCCACTGCCCATCTGCAGTCAGCCACCTCCTTATACATAACGGGGTAATAATTTCAACTATTGAGCTGAGAGGTTATTCAAGAGTAGTTTCCTACTTTCGTGGTGTACTCTTAGTATATATAGTTGCTGTAATTCACTTCAATAACACGTTGTATTCTCTCCTTATACATTCACGTGGTATCAGCCTAATTTTCGATCCTATGGTCGAACAAGAAAACCCCACCACCACTCCCGTCACCAACTCCTCCACCGCCGATGTACCTCAATCTGATTCCCGCCACCACAACATGCTTCAACAGGCACATCACTATGTGTCTATCAAGCTGACTGCCTCGAACTACCTGTTCTGGAGAGCGCAACTAATTCCCTTTTTACGCAGCCAGAACCTTTACGGCTATGTCGACGGCACTACTGCGTGTCTGTCGGAATTCCTAGCCGCCGTCGCAGGGTCATCTTCGACTGGTCCAACACCGAATCCTCTATACACGGTTTGGATGCAGCAAGACCAGTCGATACTCAGCATGTTGATTTCGTCCTTAGCAGAAGAGGTGTTGTATTTGGCTATTGGCCATCAGACTTCTCGCTCCATTTGGGTTGCGGTGGAGACCGCGCTAGGATCTGCCTCTCGTTCCCGTTCATTAAGCCTGCTAACGCAACTCCATGCTCTTCACCAAGGGGATTCGACGCCAGCGGCTTATCTTGGTAGAGCCCAGATCATCGTTGAGCAGCTCGCACAAGCAGGCCGCCCCATAGGCCTGGACGAACAAAATCTTCATGTTTTCAGAAGATTACGCCCGGAGTACAGGTCTCTTGTTGCGTCACTCACCACCAAGAGTGC